TTGTTCAAGAGAATTTATGCTGCCCCATGTCGCTTACTTCGGTGATTCTTTGGCCGGTTTGAATCATCACTACTCCCACGTTTGTTATCAGCCTACATTCGACTCTTCCCAGAGTACGCCATCCAAGCTTGGAGCCCATGGCTTCAACGTGATCGAAAGATGCTTGAGCGTCCACAAAGGACAGCCACCAAGATGGTCATGGGATTGCATTGCTTGATATGTGAGGAGAGATTACGATCACTGAGACTATATTCTGCTCAGCACTGCCGAACTCGAGGAGACTTGATTTTGACGTATCAAATACTGCAGAACCCAAACCATCCGTGTCAATCGCTGCTCGTGTTATCGAACAATGTACACCTAAGGGGACACCGTTTCAAACTACTGATTCCAAAGTATCCACTGGAATGACGGCGCCAGTCTTTTGCAGTCAGAGTATGCAGTTCTCGGAACGCTCTTCCATCTCATTTCGTTTGTGCACACACTATTGAATCTTTCAAACAGAGACTCGATGGAACCATGGAACACCTCGCATTGGTGCACTAAAAGTAAATGCGAGTTCCCTGTAGCCTGCATTCTCTATTATCTCCTACCCGGAACTCTATGTGGCTCCTTTTTCGACCTGTAACGATTCATCTGTGCAAACATCCTATGGGGACAAGAGAAGCACGAGTTTGTAAGTTATGCCCATAATAAAATTTGGACTTTGACCCTGATAATTCCGCATCCACGGAATGGAGGGGTGATTCCACCCATTTACAAAGGGGACTCATGCGATGATCCCACCAACTATCTTCCTGTTACACATCTTTTGGCACTGTCGAAAGTCATGTAGGCTATTGTGGCAGATCAGTTGTTTCAGTATCTGCAGGGGTATGAGATTTTGTCTTCTGCAGCCTACGTATTTCCGCACAAACGTTCGTGCAATATAAATTTAATTCTTGCAAGAGGTGGGTAGACAAGATCCGTCGATGTAAGATGAACAATTAGAGATAGTTTATTTGGACCTTTCCAAAGTATTTAATTGAGCAAACTTCAATTTCCACTGCAAATAATCTACATTTACGATGTCAGAGGTTAGGTCCTTTACTGGATCGAGGAGTGTCCCCTACGTCAGTCTGTGTTTGGGAATTATGATCTAAGCTTCTCTCCACTGTCCCAGGGGTTCCGCAAGAATCCGTACTGGGTTATTGTCTCTTTCTTGCAGTTATAGACTATCTACGACATATCTGGGACCTAACACACTACTATTTTCGGCTGACGCTAAAATTTGGAGAACAGTAACATGTCCAGAGGATTATTTGACACTCTAATAAGCGATCGGTACATCCCATTGATGGTCAGTCACATCAACATGGAAGTCAACGTTTCAAAATGCATAGTTTCCATGGGGCACCAGACTCATTTATTCTGTTCTGGGGAGCTAAGCACTATCGCGTGCTACTGATGAAAGGGATTTGGGATTCATGGTACAGGGGGACGTAGGATGCTCCACGGATTCTGCTACAGCATCAACCATGGCTCTGCGGCAATCCGGACTACTTAAACGTGCTTTCGAGTAGTTCAAAATAGCACTGTTCACAAGCTTGCTATCAGTGTTCATTCGGCCACACACAGAATACGGTATTCAAGTAGGGAATCCATGGTTGAACCTCGACAAGAAGACTGTAGAACGTCTTGGAAGGTTGGCAATAAAAATGGCAAAATGTCTGACACTCCAAAAGACTGCGAATATGGGGGCTTTATTCATCTCAGTACCGTCGTCTTCTGGTAACCTAATCTTGAGATACCACATACTGCATCACCTATATCTCGAAATATTCATCTCAGGGGACATCCATTGGAATTGATGACCCAGAGCAGTCACCTTGGTTGCCGGCATTACTCGTTTGCAGACAGTGTGGGACAAGAAAAGCAACCGCTTTTGAGTAGTCCCCATAAAGAAAATTTTGACTTTGACTTTGTGTATGAAGTTCTCTTCTATCCCATGTTGAGTGAGCTCCTGCCGTTGAATCTATTCAACTGGAAGATTGATAAAGTATTGCACATTCAACATTTTGACATCTGTAAATTCTCAAGAAGAGAAGTTGAATATTTCAGCATTTACAATAAAAACATAAAGATTTAAGTAGTCTGATTATAAATGACAATATCCTATGACTGCGCTGCACTGAATATTTTATGCCAAATAGATGACTAAAGTTGAACGATTATTCAGTAACAATAATTCGGTAACTTCTTATTACTGTTCTTTTTTTCTGTTTATAACTGTAAACTTCTGTTTCGGTTTGACTGTATCACGATTTTGCACGTCATTCTGTACCGGCACGTTTGAAATCTTCTGTACACTGGGATCAAGTTACCTAGTCGTAAGTTTGCTTGAATTCATTGTTTAATGATTGATTGCCTTTTACTGTAGAGTCACGGTTTACGCAGAAATAAATCGCCCAGCCCTCACTGCGTTTTCTGTTCCCCACTCCCCACCCCATAGCCGTGCGTACGACTAGACTTGACAGTTTGCAGCTTACAGCTGCCCACTCGTTTTGTACCACTTTCGTGAGTCAGTAATCATGCTATTATCATTTCGTATTTGCAAAGTTTTCCAGGACATTCTGTAAAAATCCCGTGAGGTATGATAAGCATCGGGCTTTTTTCATGTCAGTCATAATAAAACTTGAACTTGGAATTTGAGTTTGTAGCACAGAACCCGATATGGTGAAGAACTGAATTAATGTATCCCCATGTACCTGATTCTCGACCGCGTCCAATCTAACTATTTCAATGATAGTATATGTAAACAATATGTTATGCTTACTCCATCTCCGTCACCATCGTTCTGAACAGCGGTAGATTGTTCCGTTTAACAATCTAATCAGTATTCGTCAGTTTATGCTCAGTACTGGCCAATTGTGATACAGTAAAATGGAGTTTCATTATGTTTAGCACTTGTATTAATGCTGTAGGTATGGACAATATTTTATATCTTGTCTACTGCAATCTACGTAGTTTCTAGGCTGCATAAGTGTCAATTAAACGTGCCTGACCTTGAGTGCCAAGATTAAATGATCTCAACATGAAAACCACAAACTTTATCGAATACCACGACGCAATATTTTCTGACAGGAATGACTCAAGAATTATCCCAAATTATTTCCATAAAACCTAGCTATCTTGGTTCTTTGTTATAAGACATTATTATATATGATATATAATTAATTATAGCAACTCTATTGGATAACCAAATGAAATTCCATCACAACCCAGAGAAATTTCAATAAATAAGGTTTCATAATAATAATCTATGTTGGATATCTAACTCATTATAGTCTAGATCAACCATTACTGGAGAAATGGGAGTATCCGCTACATTCAGAACCATTCCATCTGCTGAGCATAAACGAATGAGAAAAATCACGTCTATAAAGACTCAACAAAGCTTGTTTATTATTATTTAGAAAAAAAAATTTACTTCAGTATAAATGCTGTTGCCCAAACGAACCGACAACTGTTTTACACGGACCCGTTGCTTCAGTTTCGATTAGGCCTGTATCGTCTCAATCGTAGGAGACTGAAATTCACGCACTGTTTCATCAGGAGGGCATACTTGGCATATTCTGCGGAATTTTGACCTTGGTCAAAGTTAGAAACATGGCGAACTCCTAGTCACATTTGCTGCCCTTAACTGTATCTGGCCAACACTCACTTCTAGCACCCCAGAAAACACTCACTGAATTCTTATTTGAATAACGCTAAAATGACATCCCGGATTGATTGTATGTTGGCAATTGCACGATGGGTCTCTTCAGTGGAAGACCATGGACCGCAGTGCAGAAACGGGAAACAGGATGAATCATACTCTTTCATGAACTTACTTTAAGTTCCACCTCAATGTGTGCCGGAAGACTCGTCTCCAGGCAAATTCAACATCGCTTCCGCGGAACTGATTGAGAAAGGCAGGCGATGCTTGCTGTACGTAGCCGCTACTAGCAAACCACAACTATTCTCGAGGACGCAATTTTTTACGCAATTTGGTCCACACTGAAAACGTTCATCATAGAAGCGGCGCTGTAGCAATTAGGTAAAACTATTTACTACAAAAACGACTCAATTTACTAATGTACACTTCAGGTGTCCGCAAACGCAAGAGAGATCCATATCGCTGCAATAGAAAGACAAACATCGCAACTACTGTCGAGCGCCAACTTATTCAGAAAAACGAGCAAACAATGCGATGTTGGAACACACCGACGGGTTTCTCAACCTCCCAATCAAACCAGCCTGGCTAAGCAGATACCTAGAGCAATCAGAAATACCTTCACTCTTCCGAACAAAGGAAACTTCGCCGCGTAAGACGCTGTGTGGAATGACTCTCTATTCTCCCTGGGGGCCAGGAACACCGCTAAAAGTTCGAACTCTCTATAACAGCGTGATACAATGACTTCCACGAGCACATTTCACCATGTCTATACAGAGTTCTTGTGGTGCGCTTTGCGGTTCCATGAAATCCCCGTGAATTTCAGCAGGATTTTTAAATCATGCTACTCGACGGCCAGGGCATGAAGAGAAGAATCAGCCGAGTTTATAGTAATCTCTGGAGACAGGCAAAGATGCCCTTATTCCCCGAGTTATTCAATCACGTCCAAGATTGGATAACGCGATAAGCATTCCACATGTGGTCTATCATCATCACAGACATCCAACATGCCAACCTACCCGCCCTCATGAGTGAATCAATCAAATTAAACAAGTGAATTACAACAGTTTTTATTTTATTTTTCATTTATTGTTCAAAGGTAAATCAAATCTATGTAAAAGATTGGAAAATTGCATTTTGTATTCATTTATTTGACGATAAATGTACACACACATAATCCATTTGCAAGCAGTAGCAAGGCTTCGTTTATCACAGATCTCCGTAGGATGTGATCGAACTTCGTTCAGAAATTTGTGTTTCTAAGATTTCACAAAAGGCAGATGCCCTTTTGCTGTGCTGGTTCCCACTATAACTTGAACGAGCAGAATGCAGTCAAAACCACCGTGATAACGTGAATGGTATTCGCAACCTGAAAAACAAAGCAGAAAGTAACCTTTTTTCTTAGCAATACTAGGTATTGCATAAAACATACTGCATAGGATACGGATAGAACAAAACAAATGGCCAATCAGCATCTTTCTCTGATGAAAACAAAGTTATTTGTTTTAACCTCAGCTTTTTCACGGTTCTGGATTCCCAGTGGATCGTCTTCCGGTAACCTTTTCTCGTCCAGATAAGTACTCCACAGGCGGTGAAATAAATCCCTGCTGGATGTGCTCGAGAATTCATTTTTTTGCAAAAATCATAGTTACTCCTAGGGAATAGAGAACAGTGAAATGTATACATATTGTAAGATTGGTTGACTTGATTGTAGTTAACCGTTTTGATTGGTTGGTGGCTTCGGCCAATCATCGAGTTCTGCTATCCTAGTTCTGAATTTGCTATCCTAGAACAAAGCAGCACACAGGGAGCATGCCGACTCTATGACAATACTTCAACTCCACAATGATCACATAGGGAGAACAATTCCCCGATAAAGGCATAAATCTCTTTATCATCACGATATGCCAGTACACACGTGAATGCTTAAGGATACATGGGTTCGGTAAACACAGCGTATTTACACCACCAATTTCTGTACTCGAGTTAGTTGTGCTTTCTCGAAAACGATGACCTTGAGATGGAGGTTTGGTTCGACTGTTTGGTTTGCATTACGTTTGAAAACTTGACTTGTTTTATCGGTTGCTCACTGATCAGTTACCTGGCGTGACTTGGGAGAAATCACGGTAGATTCTAGCTGGCAGTTTTTAAATGCTCAACACACACCTAGTCACAATCGGTTGAGGGACGCTGAAATCAGGATGAAAAGTTGTGCAAATTAAAGTGAAACAATCTTATGAATAAACAATAATACATTTGCATTCTTCTTTGTCCGAGCAGACTTAATCGCCATTAGAAAAGTGAAGTTTTTCAACTACCTCGGGTGAATCGAGCTCTTGCATTCGTCATTGAAAAATAGACTGTTTCCCAAACTCAGCCAACTTGTTCATTGTAAATGCAAGTAAACATTGAATTTCCGTTTGTTGATAGCAAGAGCAAGCTAAGCTGAAAACCGGAGAAGGTAAATATAAAATCTGGTCTATTCTTGTTGTGTACCAGTTCTGTTGGTTTTGCATATCCATCCTCTATCTACGGTACATCAATCGCCCCGATAACCTGTAATTAGGCTTCATGTTGCTTGTCACTTAACAATTCATTTCATTTTATTCTTCAAACTTAATCGGTGGTGCTTTACGTAGAACAGATAAATGGTATATATTCGAGCGCGAGTTTATAATTTCACTTACGCTTGTGGAGCATGGATAGGTCGTGTTTGGCAGTGAATCAGCCTTGAGGATAGTGCCGCGGGAATCGCCCGTAGCTGAGTGAAAAATTAAAGATGACGTATAGCACGAGAACTTAGGTAAGCATCACAATGCTAACTGAAAGCCTGCGAAGAACATGAGAAGCAAATTGAATTGTTGCTTTGTCCGCTCATCTGACTATCACACTGAAGTATCCCAATGTTGGTGTATTTTTTGTTCAAATTTACCGCAGTTTTGACATTCACTCAAAAGCATAATAACGAATGATCAGTCAGTCACGTGACTAGGTGCCAACCGTCACCTTGGACGACCTCAAACATAAAGTTCAAACATTTGTCCTGTTCAGGTTTGACCTTCACTATCACCACATTTGAATCGCAGGCGATTCTAGCAATAACTCGGTTGACACAGGTGCTTATTGGCTCCGTGAACTTCCGCTGGTGACAGACGTGCTATTATAATATGCACTTCGCATGCCCGGGGTTAAGTTAACTCAATTACTAATGATATTCCTTGGCGAACAATAAGAAAACCTACTGTGCTGGATATTTGGGGAGTGAAACTGTTAGTTTGTCAATAATAAACATGGTATAATTGGTACATGCAGACACGTGCGTGTGTGTATGTGTGTTTACTCACCTGTGTCCCAGTCACTGTTGCATGCATCTGTCTGACAGCAGGCTCGTCTTCCACCACTACCCAATATCAAATTGTCATATGGTGTACACTGATCTCCGCAAACACGGCTTGTACTGTATAAAGCTCCAGCGGCATAAATTTCCTCAATCTGGAAGAAAAGCACGGAAACATATTACTGCTTTGCTTACTTCTGTTATTTATATCATTGCTGAGGGCCCATTTTTTATTGTACTGGAAAACTTTCACTCATATTCAACCAATACTACGCCTTTTCCTATCAAGCTTTAGCCAAAACCACACATTCCTTTAGCCTTGATCTACATTCCTTTAGCCAAACCCCGCAATGCTTTAGCCACGGCCCGGCAGTTCTTTAGTCTAGACGCACAAGATCAAAACATGTCGTGCTATTGCAGCCACGGTTCGGGAAGTAACACCAAAGCCTGGGTCTTATAAGACTAAATTCAACAAAGAATTCACAAAACATTTATGTGATGTTGTTGATGAGAACCCTACAGCCACATTGAGGCAGTTAAAGGAACGCATGGAGACAGACTTCCCGTGTACTTCTATCAGCAAGACCTCCATT